CTCTTGATGAAGAAATTATTGAAGGTTGTCATGTGGATGAAAGCGCGAACAAAATAGAGGAATCAGAAGATATCAATCTGCCGGTGCAGGTTATTGTACAGTCTATTATGGGAGCCACGAGTTCTAAGTCTAAAGACAAAGGAACCTCCTCAGTAAAGGGAACGAATGATGAAACTGCTCCTTTCACATGGTTACAATTGACGTCAGTGCTTCAAACGACAAGTAGTTTTGAAAATGTGGATTCTGGAAATACTCAAGTCGTTCAAATCGTGGAGAGTTCAACTGGTGATATAAGTCAAACATTTAACGGAAATCCCGCGCCATCAGCGGACGCTGGAGTCCATGCATCGCATTAATAGGATATTACAGGTACGAATTTACAGTTATCAAGTAACAGTAACGTTAGCACAGTTATTTCTCCGAATTACGCTAATCCCCTGACCACTCAACCGAGGGCAAAATTGCCGAGACTAGTTTTGCCGAAATTCCAGGGAGACGTTACACAATGGCAAGGTTTCTGGGACAGTTACAATACCTCCATACACATCAACCCACAACTCACCCAGATCGATGAATTTAATCATCTACATTCGCTCTTGGAGGAGGAAGCGGCACGATCAATCCAAGGTTTAACTAGAACTGAAGCTAACTACGACTCTGCAAGCGATCTATCTATTACATAAACGTTTTGGCAAGCCACAGAGCATCATTTCTAAGCACAGGGATGAGATGCTTAAGACTCCAGGACGTGTTAACGACAACGCCTCCCAGCTTCGACTCGTTTACGATAGGATAAGTATCAATATACGTGGTTTAGAGTCGTAAGGCATTAGCTCAAGCTAGTATGGAAGTCTGTTGATTCCTGTGATAATGTCTAAATTACCGCCCGAAATCAGAATTCAAGCCCGTGAAATTAGCGATGGTGTAAAAACAAATGTGAACTTAGAAAAACCGAAACCGAACGGGAGTCGGCCGACTTCTTCAACATTGTTATCCCATGACGGCAAGCGACCTACACCAAGAGTAAATCAAATCAAATACGTTTATTGTAGTGGTATTCATTATTCAGCTCCTTGTGAAAGTGTCAGTGATCCGCAATCTCGTTTCGAAATCCTCAAGAGAGATAGAAGATGTTTTGTTTGTTTAAGACGCGATCATCAGAGCGGATCATGCGGCAAGAAGTGTCGCCGATGCCATGGCAATCACCATCACTCAATTTGCCACCAGTTAATTTCTAATCAACGTAATCGATCTGCTCCAAACAGAAATTTGCAGGAAACGCACTATTCGACTCTAAGTCACGCAACTGAGAGTCCACAACTTGTACAAACGACATCAACTGCTGGTTCCGGAACGAAAGGAACAGTATTGCTGCAAACTGCTCGAGCTGTTGCCACCAATGAAGACGGGACAAAATCATCGAAAGTCCAGATTTTATTCGATAATGGGAGCCAACGCTCTTATGTTACCAACACGTTAAAATCCCGACTCAGTCTCGAACCTATGAGGAAAGAAACGCTACATTTAAACACATTTGGAGAACAGCGATATCGCACACAAGACTGTGACGTGGTGAAAGTCCGTTTGAGAAGAGCTGGTTGGGAAGAAATCGGAAAATTTGTGCTCTTGGCTTTCCAGTGAGATATTCGTCGTTGCCGAACAAGATTGATGTAAGCAAGTTTCTTCACCCAGACGACTTAGAATTTGCTGAAGAATTCGATGAAAGCGATGACGAATCTATAGACATTCTCATCGGATCTGATTATTATTGGAAAATAGTGAACGGGAAACAGTTCATGGCGAATCAGGCCCTATCGCCGTCAAGAAAAAACTTGTTTGGCTTTTTTCTGGACCCACAAGGAAGAAAATCTCGAGCAAACAGGTTAGTTCTCATCTGGTGATTACGAGGAAGGTAGAGTCATTATATTACGCGAACGAAAACGACGAACTTGTGAATACTGTTAAGGATTTTTGGGAAACCGATTCCATCGGAGTTAAGGAACAACTTAACGTGGAAACCACAGAAGACGGTGCTGACTTCTTAAGAGATCCAAGCTACGATGGAAAGAGATACGAAGTGGGTTCACCTCGGAAGGAAGACTGCGTGCCCGTTACCGATAGCTATCAGATGTGCTCATCGCGACTCAATTCATTACGAAACAAACTGAGTCAAGAATCTGCACTGATAAACGAATATGACAATTATTAAAGAACAGGAAAAAAACGGAATCATTGAACGAGTAAAGAAACCTTGCGACAAGGAAGAAAACAATAGGGGGATTCACTTTTCGCCACATCATGCGGTAGTCTGCAAGGATCGAGAAACAACTAAAATCCGCATCGTCTACGACGGGTCTGCGAAATCCTCAAGGGAAGGAAGATCACTAAACGACTGTTTAGAAACAGGGCCAAATTTAATCGAAATTCAGATGGAACAGTGTTGGATTTACAGCCGACATCAAGAAAGCGGTCTTGAACTTTGGAATCAAGAAAGAGCATCAAGGCATGCTTCGATTTCTTTGGTTTGAAGACCCCACAGCCGAAAACCCTGAAATGGTTCAGCACAGGTTCAATCGTTAAGCGTTTGGACTACGCCCCTCGCCTTCTATTTTGTGCTCCACAATCAAGCATCATTTGAGGTTCTACAGACAAAGCGAACCGGAACACAGGCAGCCCAAGCTCACTACGAGAAAAGCGGACGTGACTCTTACCGTGTTGCGTAACGTTTTATATTTATAAAGGTTTGTATGGGATGTTATCGGTTTGCCTTAAAAGAGAGAAAAAAATGTCTTGTTTTGAAATAAAATGGGCTCACCTTATTGCCTTGTTGTTTTCTTTGTTGATTCCGAACGTCTCAGGCCATTTTGAAGCGTTTTCGGCGAGTTAGCGCTATGTTGGTGTTCAACTGCTAAAAGAAAGACAAGGCCGGAAACCTATTTTAGAAGCGTCCGTCGCCCGAAGCGAATAATTCCGCCAAAAAATTTCCACCAGTCTCGATTCCTCCAGAAAATCAAAGCAGAGATGTTGCAGTTCCATTTTCCATTCACTCGATTCACAATTCCTCCCCCAGATCTTTCACTAGCGATACTTTTATCTCCAGATCGATAGGCTTTCCCATTTCGAATTTGGCTGGTTGAAACGACCACTGTCCCTTCGCCGATCGCACAGTATGTTGGGTAACAAAAATAAGCCCGGCGAGGGTAGCCAGCGGCCTGCAGTCCAAAAACAAACCCGTTAGCTCCCCTGGTCCCCTCGAGAGGTTTTGTCAAGACCGCATTGTTTTGATCGACCAATCAACATCGAATGAAAATGTGTTTACTAATTTAAATATCTCAGTGGAAACCCGAGATCGATCGCCATGTGCACGTTCCTGAGTGTCAAGCTATGAACGAAACCTGCGGCGAAATTCCAGGGGAGCTAACGGGTTTGTTTTTGGACTGCAGGCCGCTGGCTACCCTCGCCGGGCTTATTTTTGTTACCCAACATACTGTGCGATCGGCGAAGGGACAGTGGTCGTTTCAACCAGCCAAATTCGAAATGGGAAAGCCTATCGATCTGGAGATAAAAGTATCGCTAGTGAAAGATCTGGGGGAGGAATTGTGAATCGAGTGAATGGAAAATGGAACTGCAACATCTCTGCTTTGATTTTCTGGAGGAATCGAGACTGGTGGAAATTTTTTGGCGGAATTATTCGCTTCGGGCGACGGACGCTTCTAAAATAGGTTTCCGGCCTTGTCTTTCTTTTAGCAGTTGAACACCAACATAGCGCTAACTCGCCGAAAACGCTTCAAAATGGCCTGAGACGTTCGGAATCAACAAAGAAAACAACAAGGCAATAAGGTGAGCCCATTTTATTTCAAAACAAGACATTTTTTTCTCTCTTTTAAGGCAAACCGATAACATCCCATACAAACCTTTATAAATATAAAACGTTACGCAACACGGTAAGAGTCACGTCCGCTTTTCTCGTAGTGAGCTTGGGCTGCCTGTG